AAACAAGGAAAAAAAAAAAACCAGGTCCGCCGCCAACTCTCTCCACCTGCCGTTCCAGCCCCTTTCGGCCGCCAACACCACCAGTTCCAACCGAAAACAAGCTCCAGTAGCCATTGGACGGTGAATGGCAGCCAAGGGAGTCAAAAAAAAACGGTGTTGAAATCACAAATCTCTAAACTGCAATTTCAAAACTAATTCGCCGGCAACAATGGAGGTTCTCAGGTGGGTTTTGAGGTGTTAAACCAACAATCAGGGTCCAACACATGATTGAATCAAAAGAAAACACAAAACATTAAATATCAAAACCTCTTACCTGTTCTTCGTATTCCCCAATGAGAACAAAATTTTTTTTTTTATTATTATTAAACAAAACCCTCAATCCGTAAACAGTAGGGAAAAAAAAAAACTTACGAAAATCAATCTAAAATCTAGCAATTATGCACAAGGCTCCTCTGGGGACCACGACCTTTATATACCTGTAGGGTTCAAATAATTCAATAATAACCTTAGATCGTTGCAAACCCACTTAGATTCCAACAAAATTAGATTTGAAAAAGAAAAGTTTGCGTAAAAGGTTGCGTACCTGACATCGTTGTTGGTCGATCTTGATGTGTAGAATTAGGTTTGCAGCCTTCCAGAGAATTGAAGAATCGATTAGCGGAAGCAATACGAAAGGAACGTAAAATTGAATCGTATTCAACTCCTCTGGGGACCACTACCTTTATATACCTGTAGCGTTAGTATAATTTCTATTTCGGTCCTTTAACAAAATAAAAATTATATAATGGTCTCTACACTTAATATTTATAATCAGTTGATACCTCAATAGTCAATTATTCACAATCAAGACCACATTTGAAATTGACTTTACTACAATTGGACTGCTGTACATATTTTTTTTTACATATTAAGCCCACAATAGAAAATTAAATCCAACAATTTGATCTAATACTTTGTTCTCAATATATTTGAATCGGGCTGCCTCTGAAACCATTTGGATAAAAGAAACTAGAGGTTTAGCAATGTCTGCTGGTAGAGAACTTTTTTGAAGATCATATATGTAATTACCAAATAGGTAAATAATCTTGACGGAATGATGGATTTCTACATGTTGGTGATGTTGAACTGTGATATATATAATAATATATATATATATATATATTGGAGCCCATCTGCCTGTATTAAAAAAAAAAATATTATGGAAATAATATATATATATATTGGAGCCCATCTGCCTGTATTAAAAAAATATTATGGAAATAAGAGTAAAATTTATTAATTAGTTAGATTAAGAAATTATATGATAAGATAAAAAGATATCGAATAATTACAATAGCTCCAACTTCTACACCTCGAAATGAAATCCAATGTCTACTTTATTGTACATATTAAATGTATTACACCAAAACCACCAGATTATATGTGTGTGAAAAAATATTTTGAGTGAATGAATATTTTTCTTTTGAAACCAGTAATTAATATGGTGAACTATTAACAAAACACTATTTTTCTCATGTACTTTTTGCTGATTAGTTGCACTAAAACCACCAAATGAATTATGTGTTTTAGTAAAAAAGCAAATTGACAACTTAAAATTTTCATTTGTTAAGTTTCATATTGTATTGAAACCATCAATTAGATTTGTAATTTCAATACAAAATAAAAATTATTGTTTATTCATATAACTTTTTTACTGATTGCTTATCTGTACGAATTACTTTTTCTGTTGCACTAAAATCACTAATTCAATTAATGGTTTTAATGCAATACTCTCTCTTTATGTCAGAATAAATATTAAATTAATAAATAGTTTTAAAATGACATTAAATTAAGAAATAGTTTTACGCATTATTTCTGTCGAAACCCCACCCTATAGTCCTCTTTTTAAACAAATGATTTGCATGGATCTTGGGATCCAACCTAGAACCTATAATTTTCTTGTATTTTCCTTTTAATTATTTATCCTCTTAATCTAAATTTCTGATTTTTAGTTTGCCTAGTGCAGAGGCAAAAAAAAAAATGAAATAAGAAATTTTCGGGCAAAAGAATTGATTTCAAAAAGAGAATTGTCTCGTCGACAAACCGAATAATCAATTAATTATAAAAGCAATATTACTATCGTTATATAACAGAAAATACCGTACATCAAAGATTCAGACACTACCTCATAGCATTAATACAAACAGTCACACCCAGTAAAATAACAGAACAAACATCATTAATTCTTTCTTCATCATCTCTAGCTTTGCTATAAATGTAAGTTTACAGGAAATAATAGCTCAACCAGAAATCTGGATAGCCTTGACATCAGGTTTCTTGATTTCCTCCTTTGGAACTGTCACAGTAAGAACTCCATTTTCCATTGAAGCCTTTACTTGATCCATCTTTGCATTCTCCGGCAGCATTGAAGCCTTTACTTGATCCATCTTTGCATTCTCCGGCAGCCTGAATCTCCTCATGAACTTCCCACTGCTACGCTCCACCCGATGCCAAGTATCATTCTTTTCTTCTTTCTCCACATTCCTCTGTCCGCTGATTTGGAGAACTCTGTCATCTTCAACCTCTACCTTCACTTCCTCTTTCTTGAGCCCAGGAAGATCAGCCTTGAAGACATGAGCTTCTGGTGTCTCTTTCCAGTCTATGCGAGTGTTCACAAAAGCAGAATTTTCACGAGAGACGATTACGATTGAAGAAGATGAAGGCAAAGGAAAATCTTTGAATGGATCCCAAAAGTCAAAAGCAGAGAAAGGATCGAAAATGCTGCTTCGTGAGTTACCGAAGAAACTTGGAATCAGAGCCATTTCTGTTTTGTTTATTTCCTGGACAAGATCTGATAGATAGCTGAGAAAGTAAATTGAGAACTGAACTTCTTCTTATCGTCGATGGTCGGCCTAGGGGTAATGGGTTTGATTATTATAGGCAGTAGAAGAGCGATTCTGGTAGTTTCTCGGGAAATCTAATTGGGCTTTCGTTAACAAACCATATATGAAAAGTTCTGGAACCTTCAATGCTTGGAAAGTTCGATAAATCTGGATTTGGGCCTTTCTCGCACATTCTCGAACTTTTGTTCTGAAAGTTCTGGAACCTTCAATGCTTGGAAAGTTCGATAAATCTGGATATGGGCCTTTCTCGAACATTCTCGAACTTTTGTTCTTAGTTTCCAAACGGGCTCAGTCGATGTCGTTTTTTAAGATCCAGCCACGTCAGCCAATCGGGTCCAGCGGGAGTACTATGTATTGGAAGAAATCTGCCAGACGGAGTTCACAGCCTTATTCATGAAAATCAATGGAGCTAAAGATTTTTTAAATAATAGGTCGGTTTAATTTTTTTTTTAAATATATGGATAGAAATATGCCATTTTAATAAAAATCATTAGCTTTATTAATTTGATTCATAAATAGGATTATGAATTTAGTCTAGATAAATTTTTTCTTCCGTTTATCTATGAAATAGGTTGCCACGGAATGTGATACAACTCTTTTGAGAAAAAAAAAAAAAATAAGACACAGCACACTTAGCACACAGCCTTGAAAAAGTACGTAACTTATTAAAAAAATTTAAATAAATAAATAATTATCTATAATAAGTTATAAATATCTTTAAAAAAACCAACTATAATATGAGAATATTAAACCTTTTAAATGTTCGTGCAACTAATTCAAAATCGGGAAAATTCAATTAGATTAATATGTCATTATTATTATTAAAAACAATCTTAAAAATGCATAGATAAAATTTTGAAATCAAATAACTTTAGCATTTTAAAGCATTTTGTTATTTGAAAGTAAAACAAATAGAGATGCGGATCTCTTTTTAGTAAATGAAAGAAATTTGAAAGTTACTCCTAAAAGAAATTTGAAAATAATCAAACCTGTTGAATAACTATAGAGTCGAGCAGTACTGTAAGTAGCCATTAAGTAGAGTGTGTTTATAGCTAATAGCATAAATCAATTTCTTTGTCACTTGATTGAATCCCTCAAAATAAGCTAAAGTTTTTTAATGAAATTTGCACCGGAAAAGCCTACAAAGGGATTAAAAATACTCCCTTCCAAGTGTTTAAAAATATTTCATATTCAGAGCTCAAACTCGAAACCTTTAATTAAAGGAGAATTAATCAATATCATCTCATCTTATTCTTCGGGATATAATTTACAAATATTCTTATTGTCTTATATATTTTTTTTTTTGAAATACATTTTTGAATTATAATATAATTTTCAAAATCAAATGGCAGCCGCCAGAAAAATGATAAAAGAATGTATGATTAGTAATATTTGATATTTGAGAGTTGGATTCAAGATTTATGGACATGAAAATCTGAAAATATCTACACGACAAATGTTTTATTAGCATTTTATATATCAAATGACGTCTGACCTTCAGAATACTTAAATTTTTTTTAATAATTTTTTATTATGTATATTTAATTTGTTATACTTGCAATCCCTTTAATTAACTTTTATTATCATTTTGAAATTTTTATTCACTTGTGTAAGAATATTATTATTATTAAAAAAAGGGGTTATAATGCTCACTTGAAATGGTCTTACACAAAATTCAACCATATATATACAAAGTAAAAAATTCGTCGATACATAATTTTGACCCTCGTGATTAAAATAATATTGTGACATTCTCAAATTCATTTTTATAATAAATTCACATTTTTCCATATTAATAATGATAATTTTTATTATTTTTTATTTCTATAAAACATTAAATATGTGATTAAGCAATTTAAAATACTAACTTTCTTATTTTTTTTTGACTATCAAATAAATATTTAATTAAACTAATTTTATTAATCAAATTTTGTAAATAAGTTAATATATAATGTAAAATTATTTGCTTAGCTACTTAAAATATAATAAGTTAATATATAATGTAAAATTATTTGCTTAGCTACTTAAAATATATAGCAGTGTAAAATTATTTTTAAAATGATTTAATTAGCCAGTGAAATTTTACGTATGACATAATGACATAAACCTTAGTCTTAATTTGTGAAATTCAGCTGTTGGAAATTTAAAAAAATTGAAAGTAGATTTTACAACTCAAGACTCCATCTTTGTTCATTAATTTATTACATCAAACAACTTCTGAATCTCTCTTAGAACATTCATTTTAATGCTCATATTTGTAGAACTCAGCCAGAAATCTCAATAGCCTTCACATCAGGTTTCTTGATTTCCTCCTTAGGAACAGTCACAGTAAGAACTCCATTTTCCATTGAAGCCTTCACTTGATCCATCTTTGCATTCTCCGGCAGCCTGAACCTCCTCAAGAACTTGCCACTGCTACGCTCTGCCAACGGTATCGTTCTTGTCTTTTTTTCTCCCATTCCTCTCTCCGCTGATTTGGAAGGAAACTCTCATCATCTTCAACCTCTACCTTCACTCTTCTTTCTTGAGCCCAGGAGATCAGGCCTTTGAAGAATTGAGCTTTGTTCTCTTTCCAGTCTATGCGAGTGCTTAACAAAAGCCAGAATTTTCACGAGAAGACGATTGAAGAAGATGAGGGAAGCGGAAGTCTTTGAATGGAAAGTCTTTGAATGGATCCCAAACGTCGAAAGCAGAGAAAGGATCGAGAATGCTGCTTCGCGAGTTACCGAAGAAACTTGGAATCAGAGCCATTTCTAATTTGTATATCGCTTAAGAAGATTTGATGGATGTGTTTTTGCTGTCGATGGGGGAATGGTGAGAATGGAAGGGATTTTTATAGGAAGCAGAAGCAGGATTCTAGTAGTTTCTCGGGAAATCTAATTGGGCTTTTGTCAAGAAACTGTATCTAGACAAGTCTCGACCCTTCAATGAAGGGATTTGGGCTTTTTCTCGCATGTTCTGGAACCTGTTTTCTTGGTATTCATATGGGTCCAGTATCTAGACAAGTCTCGACCCTTCAATGAAGGGATTTGGGCTTTTTCTCGCATGTTCTGGAACCTGTTTTCTTGGTATTCATATGGGTCCAGTCTTACACTATGTTTGGGAAAGGGAGGAATAGGAACCTGTTTTCTACCCAAATTTTCCTTCCTCCCCTTTTCCAAACAGTGTTATTGTCGTTTTAAAGATTTCAGCAATAGCCTACAATTGCATTTTATATATAGGCCACCATTCTTCCTCTAAGTAATCACACACACACACACACACACACACATATATATATTCAATTTTCAGAATCAAAGCAAGGAGTAATCATTGACATTTTGACATTGTTAGGCAATTCACAGCTTCTTATACAGTACTCTCCATTGATGATCAACATCACTTTTCTTCGAGTAATCTCAACCTTCAATTCTTCAGTCCTAAGCCCTTCTACATTTGCAGTGACAACAAAAGCTGTTTCTTGGCAATACATCTAAAAACAATAGAGAAAATTACATTTCAAGGAAAACCCTAATTAATTATAGCTTATTTATATTACATATACTATATTGCGTGGAAAAGAAAAAAGAAAAAGAAACGTGTAAATGTGTAAATGATACGGATAAAATGACATATAAAGTGTAATTTTATATGGAAAAAAATATTTTATGTAAAAAAACTGACACCGAGCAAATGTTCTCAAAATATAAAAACACTCATGGCTAAGAGTTTTATACATTATAATGTAAATTAAAAAGAAAGAGGCAACCAAGATGTATTCTCATTAATTGGATTTATTACAATTTACAATAGACAACAAGTGGCACCAATTATAAGCTTAGGGGCACCTATGAGTGGGGCAAGACATGGACAATACAAGCCTAGTGACCTAAGTCAAATGTTCACTCCCCTATGCTTAGGTTTTAAATGCAAATCCAGATCTTCGCATAAATAAGCATTGCTATATCTCACCTGTCACACCGTTCAAAATACATAAATAAAAGTAATTACTACAAAATTACAATTGTATTCCTTTACAAATTGTTATCAAATAGGGGCTAAGTACTTATGTTCATGTCGGATGATATTTGAGCTAGCTTCCAGCATTTTGATAAAATCATAATTCTATCTCTATTAATTATAGTTTTGGTAAAGTAGTTTTTATAATAGCTTTTAAAAGTTGAAGGACTTTTTTATAAAACGTTAAATTACTTTAACGTTTAACTTTTAATGTTCAGAGTTTAACTTTTAATTAATTATTTTTGACAATTACACCCATTGTTTTTTCTTTCGAATTCAGTTAATTAAACAACTAATATCTTTTTTTTGTCATTTTAAGTTAAATAAGTACCAAATAATAACTAATAACTAATAGATAACTGACAACTACTACAACAATCAATATCTTTAAAACAGTTAACGTTGCCGAACAAACTCTATATGGTTGAAAATACATCCTTCTGGGAGTCCAATTGATAGACATGGCTAGAAAAGGAAGGCAATTGTCTTGCCCTATACCTAAACTTGCCCTTTCTTCATGGAAAAAAAAAACCTTTATATAGATAGAAGACAAAGATTTATAACTCAATGCAGGGTAAGAGAGGCACCTATTCCAAATCTCTTTTAATTAATTTTGTCGAGGTCATAATCATATATGTGAAGTGTCAGAGACAGAAGGCAAGAAAACTTGTCAGAGAAATGTGAAATGTGTTCTCATGTCAACATTTGTCTGTCACAGGTTATGGTAAAAGGGTACATATGATATGCCCCAAACTTGATTCAGACGGCAACTTTGATTTGCAGAATTTTGTATTTTTGGCCTTTGGTAGTTGAATATATGGTATCAATAATTACTTGTGTGTTTGGATAATAATTAGGGGAGGAAAGAAAATAAGGAAGAAAAGAGGAAAAATTATTGAACTGGTTTATAAAGTTTGCGACATATAACTAGTAGTCTGTCTCTATATTTTTTAAAATATATCAATTTTTTTTCATGTTTTGATTTCATTACACTAGTAAGTTTTTTTATCCAATTTATACATCTTTTCCGTTAGGTCAATAAGAAAACACAGGGTTAATAGAGAAATACTAAAATATTATATCAGAAAAATTATATTCAGTCCCTATAGTTTGAAAAATACAACTAATCTGTTTCAATGTTTTTAAAAATAAAATGAATATTTTCGTCATTTTATAAGGTATTTAATAAAAAAGATGCAAAAAATGAAAGGAAATGACTTATATTTTGACGGAAGTAAACTATAAAAAAATTTTATTCTATTTCCAAAACACAATGACGAATTAGTTGTATTTCGCAAACTACAAAAATCGTACAGTAATTTTCTCAAGAAAAAATATAGAAGAATTTTTCTGCTTAATGTTTGGATATTTGAAAGAAAAATAAGGAAGGAAAACGAACTTATGAATAGTAAAATTATGAGTTTATCCCTTTTATTTTCAATAAATTATAATAAACAGTGGCAAAATTGTAATTTTAATCATTTTCCTTTCAGCTCAGAGAGAAATGATATGTGGGTCTCATAATCTATTTTTCATCTACATTTCCCTTCCTTCCACATTTTCAAACAAGTGAAAGAACCAAAATTGGTACCATTTTCCTTCTCAATTTTTTTTTTCCTCTCCCATTTTCCACAGACCCAAACACAGTGTAAGTTGGTTTCAGCGGAAAAATTGGATTGAAATAAAGATTTTGATAATTGACGGGCCTGAGTTAATTTAATATGAGGGGAATAGGTCATTGCAGAATGCATGAGGGCTGGCCGTACAAAATCATGTTGGGCAGTACAAAATAATAGTAAAATAAACAAAATAATCTTAGTAAAATAAACAAAATAATAGTAAAATCACTAAACTTAAGAGAGAAACATTTATGAAATATTAATAAATTTATTTTAAAAAAATAAAAGTTTATAAACACACATTTATTTATCTACTGATTATTGATAATTACACTCAGGCACTAATTGAATCTAGACTGTGTTCGACAACAGTTTTTTAAGTAATTTTTGGTGTTTTGATAAACGTTATTTTTTATAATATTTAATAACATAACGTTTGAATTGGATTTTAAAGGTTAAAATAGTATTTTATAAAAAGTTAATTCATATAATGTTTAGCTTTTAGTGTTTTATGAAAAACTCCGGAAAAAGTTAATAAATACTGTTAAAACAACTAAAAATTATCAAAATAGCTAATTTTGCTGAATAAACCTCTAATATAATTTGAGCATGCATGATCACACCACTTTTTTAACCGACTCAGCACGATCCGACTAGACTAAAGAAGTATTTGAGCTTCGCCTGAATCCTTCAAACTCCTCGAGCTTGTAAGAGTGCAAAATAGATTTTCAATATATCTAGTTAGAATAGTAAATAGTTTCGATCTTTCTAAAAGTAAGAACATAATTTCGATTTTTAAATTGCTGTGTTGAGACGTTTAAAAACTTTCAGGCTCTATAGTGCGAGGGATTAACACCTCTAGTTTTTTTTTAAAAAAAAAAAAACTATTGGAAAAACACAAACCTAATTATGTCGTTACTATGTGGATTCAACTATGATATGGAAATAACCGTGTTGTCTTTGTCTTATTCTTATATGCACAGTTGTGAATTATTTTTTATTCTTTTCATATTGTTCTTACAAAAATTTCATTTGTCTCCAATGTGTAAACTGGAAAGAGATTCCTTTTACTTCTCAATTGTCAAATTCTAGTTCCAGAAATTGTAAGGTAGGCTGCACAACAATCGATAAAATTTCTACTAAATCAAATTCAACTGATTAATCCAAATCATTTGATTCGATTAAACAGTTTCGGTTCAGTTCATTTAAAAAAAAAATTCTAAAACTTAAAATGAATGAACATCGAAGCAACGAATCCAAGCTAATTATTTCAGTTTAATTTGATTTTGTTCGATAAACAATGCAATTCGGTTTAAATTTTCTTATAAAAAATTAAATTTATTGAATTTGTAATAATTTAGTTTTGTTTGAATTGAGTTGAACTAATTAAATTTTCTTATTGAATTATTATAATTAAATAAATTACATTTTGATCCATAATAGTGAGTAATTTTCTCTTTGGTTCGCGAAATTAGCTATTGATTTATTTTAATTTAAAGGAAAAATTACTATTTATTCCTTTACTTTGCAAAAATTAATTAGTCTCTCCTTATATTTTTGGAAATATATTCATTTTTCACTATGTTTTTGCATTTGTTATGCTATTATTCCTTTCACGTCAATTTTTTATGCTATTATTCCTTATATTTTGAAAAAATATAGAAACTAATTTTTTCAATAAAAATTTATTAATTTTGATTTAATTAAAAGATATTCTTATCTTTTCATAAGGCGTAAGCATGAAAAGTATAAAAAATTGATAGAAGAATATACTAGTTCAACGAAATCAAATATTTAGAAAAAGATAAAATACTTTAAAAAATGCAAGAACATACTAATTAATTTTCATAAAATATAGATAAAACATATTATTTTTTTTCTTGAATGTAACTATATTTTAAGTATAATACTATTAATACTCAAAAAAACAGTAAATAATAATGATATTTAAGCGTAATCTAATTAGTTTTTTCACTTATATTAGGAGTATAAGATTTCAAATTCAAGTTATTTTAGACACAAATATTTTTATCAATTTGATGAGAAGGTATTATTTACGACTATAGCTTGTGATGAATAAAAAAAATAATGCTATGATTAGGCCGTTGGATTATATTGTCTTTATTCCGTTCAATGGTGTGGGCATTTGATAAACTTTTTGGGCTGAGGATTAGGCTGCCTCGTTGTGCGAGACATAAGGGCCTGGTCGGTG